AACACGTTAAGTTGCAAAATATCCATACTCTTGGAAAATCGTGGCTGAAAATTGGGAGGTTTGTTCATAGTACCATTTAAAACATAGAACAAGACTTGATGGTAACGTCGCTAGGGTTGCGTAGATGTTACATTCTTGATTGAAATCAAAACAGGCAATATAATGTAATCTATACAGTGTCAAACTCTGGTTTTTTTTTATTAAGGAAAATGAAAAGCTTATCAGTTCGTGATGATGCAATCTATTCATTTATGGGTTTGTTTATGACTAATCATTACTAATAGGCGACGATTTAGACACATTGATTGTTTTTTTATGTACTTGGTGAACAATGATGTTTTCTATCCTCAAATATGATTTTTTGTAACATTATAGTATGAATTTCTTCTTAGTGCGTTGTTTTCCAGCCCACTATGGGCACCTTTAAAACTGACATTGGCTACGTTAGCCAGCCAGGTGTGTCACGTGATTATCCGTGTGTTCTCACGTGACGCAATCTGGCTCATTTTTTCAACAGCCCGAGCTCTGTTCATGTTGTCAGATTGTATTCGTGTTTCAACACACTAAGTGTTCAATGCCTCGTCATTTTCAGGCAGTTGCATAATATTCCCAGTTATCCATAACTCCTCAATTCTCCCAGTTCTTCAAATTTGCCTACTGCAGTTACTGCAATTTTCTGTTGGCACTTCACCAAACCAACCCAAATATCCCCTCCCCACCACCTGTTGCCTCTCCCTCCAACCCATCCACCTCGACATTGCCCCTCCCTCCCACCCACCCACCTCGTCATCCCTTTCCCTCCCTCTTTTCCATCGCTGCTCTCCTCGACCCCACCATCCACTCTCTATCCCACCTCGCCTTCCCCTCTCCCTCCCATCCCGCCGTCGCCGCTCCCTCCTACCCGCCGTCGCCGCTCCCTTCCTACCGCCGTCTCCGCTCCCTCCTCCCGCCGTCGCCGCTCCCTCTGTGAGAGTACAACGGCTTATGCCAGCTATGCTTGCTTGCCTTTACTTTATCATGCTATTTCTAGCATAGGATAATCATATGCATGCATGAATTGCTTGATTTCCTAGGCTAGGTGTTTTTCTATATTTTATTATAGTTATAGCACCGAGCTAGGTTGCGTGCACCGAATTCTGGCTTTTCGGTTGCCACCGAATTGCCTTCTACCGAATTCAGGAAGGGTCTGTTCGGGACGCTTCGCGACCCGCGGAACCTTCGCATAACACCTGGTTACGGGGCCTTGTGTCGAGCCTATATATAGCCTTGTGTTGTACCCAGGTGATCATTCAATTCAAATCATCTTTTCTGAGCTCGATCCTAGATCCTCACACCCTCCCTCCCGCCGTCGCCGCTCCCTCCTCCCGCCTTCGCCGCTCCATCCTCCCGCCGTCGCCGCTCCCTCCCTCCCGTCGTCGCCTCTCCCTCCTCCCGTCGTCGCCACTCCCTCTCTCCCGCCGTCGCCTCTCCCTCCTCCCGCCGTCGCCGCTCCCTCCACCTGTTGTTGCCGCTCCCTCCCTCCCGCCGTCACCACTCCCTCCTCCCGCCGTCGCCGCTCCCTCCCTCCCGCCGTCGCCTCTCCCTCCTCCCGCCGTCGCCGCTCCCTCGTTGCCTCTCCCTCCCATCCCCGCCGTTGCCTCTCCCTCTCACTTCGCTGTCGTCCCAGGCAACAGGTCACGAGCAAGCTGGTGCACGAGCGGGAGCTGGTTCGCGGTGCGCGAGCGCAGATTGGGTCTTTGAGGCACCGTGATTTGCAGGTGCGTTTACCTTTCCCCGTCCATTTTTCCGTCCTCCCCCCTCAAATTCTATTGTTTTCCTACATTATTTGTATTTTCTGTGTATCAGTTAGTCTCCTCTTGCGTTGCAATACTATTTGAAGTAGGGGAAAAGGGAGGGTGAGGGAGAGCGAGCGCACTGGAGGGAACGCCCAGGAGAGTGCGCGTGAGGGAGCGCGTGCGAGAGGTAAGGAATAGCTGGAGGGAGACAGGGTGGCAGAGCGTTCAGGAGTGAGCGTGGGAGAGTGAGCGCCGTTGGCGCTTAAACTTACGGCGCTGGTGCCGTGGGCACAGGCGCCAAGTGTGAGAAACTTAGAACGAGAATGAATTGACTAAGGAATGAAATTGATACAAATATGAAACCCTAGAATTGTGTACCCTTTAGTATCTAACCCGCTACAGCCTACACAGACTAGATCATATGAGTTTGACACACCCCCATAGGCAAAGTGGGGGAGAACAAGGGGTCACAAGACCAGTCAAGCAAAGCAAGGCAAAGCAAGCTCAGGGTGGATCACAACGTCACCACACATTCTGAGCACAAGTTCAAGGCCACAAGGCCAGTTCATTTGCATGAGTACACACATATATATAATGCTAAACAAACAAGAGCGGGTATATATATGTGTAACAGTACAAGCAAGGTCAAGAAGTGAGCAAGTGAGGCAAGGTAGGTACAAGACCTAACAAAGTACAGAAGCGCTGATGGTCACAAGGCGCAAGTGCCTTGGTGAAGATATCAGCAGTGTTGGCCTTGGAGGCCACGTAAGCAAGGCGCAGCTGACCTCGCTGCTGCAGCTCACGAGCAAGGAAGTAGCGAAGAGCGATGTGCTTCGTTCTGTGCTCCAGTCTATGTTCCCGACATAAGGCCAGCATAGCCTTGTTGTCTACGTACAGAACTGGAGGAGAACGAGGCGGCTCTCCTAGGTCAGTCAGCAGGTAGGTGAGCCAGCGTACCTCCTGTGCAGCCATGGCCCCTGCGTAGATCTCACCCTCACAACTGGAGCCGAGAACAGAAGACGAGCGGGTAGACCGCCACGAAACAGAGCCGGAACCAAGGCTGAAGGTGTAACCCTGTGACGACCACTGCGTAGCCTGGTCGTCAGCCCAAGAAGCGTCTGCGTGACCAGTGAGGACCACCGGACTCCGCCCTCCAAGCACAAGCCCCATGCCCGACGTACTGCACATGTAGCGCAACACCCTCTTCGCTGCAGCCATGTGCTCTTATCTGTGTCTCCCAGGAGCAACATAGCGTGCCAGAATGCTAAGAGGGTATGCAAGGTCAGGTCGAGTGCAGGTCATCAGGTACATGAGGCAGCCAACAAGCTCTGGGTATGGGCCACTCGACACTACGGACTCATCCGAAGGCAGAGCTGAGAGCGAGTGGCGAGTAGACAGAGGAGTGGCCTGAGGCGAGGAGTACGTGAAGCCGAAGCGCTGAAGGACCTGCTGCACCATGTGTGACTGAGTCAGGGTAATGGTGCGCTGTGCTCTGTCCTGGGTGATCTGCAAGCCAAGGTAGCTGCGCAGTTCACCCAGGTCTGTGCACGTGTGTCTCTTCTGCAGCTCGGAATTCACGTGGGCGAGTCCAGCAGTGTCAGTTGTGGCAAAGACCAAGTCGTCGACGTACACGAGGATGTAGAACGGCGGCAAAGAAGTGTCAGTGCGCAGAAACAGCAACATGTCAGTAGTAGAAGGAGCAAACCCAAGAGCCGCAAGTGTAGTCCTCAGTGTGTCGTGCCACTCACGAGGTGCCTGGGGGAGACCGTAGACTGGCCGCCGAAGGCTCCACTGGGTACGATGAGGAAAAGACCCAGTGAAGCCAGGTGGGCGGCGCAGCCAGATCTCCTCGTGCAGGCTGCCCTGCAAGAAAGCTGTGCTGAAGTCAAGAGAGTGAAGCTCGTAGTCACGCTGAGCGGTTATGTGCAGCAGTATCCGAAGAGTGGTCATCTTCGGGGTGGGAGAAAAGGTCTGAAAGTAGTCAACTCCCTGCCGCTAACTGAAGCCACGAGCCACGTAGCGCGCCTTGAAGACAGGCGGAGAACCCGGCGGTCGCTTCACCCTGAAAATCCACATGCCACTAACGATGTTCGCCCCAGGAGGAGGAACCTCGTCAACGTAGGTGCCTGTGGACTTCCAGGAAGCCATCTCTGCATCCATGGCTGCCTGCCACTGAGAGGAGTAGGAACCCTCTATCGCCTCCGCGTAAGAGCGCGGAGTCGGGATGTCAAGTGCATCCGGGTCTCCCTCAGGGGCAAGCAGCATGGACACGAGATGAGGTGAAGCAGCAGCAAAGCACTGGAACTCCTCCTGCCTGTCCTCAAGGACGTCCATGCCAAGGGCACACTCACCCCCGACGGACGGAGGACAGGCAGACTCAGACTCAGCGACAAGACTAGCAGTATAGTCTAGGCGACAGCGAGCAGCGAAGTCGACAAGCTTAGAAACTAAGGCAGACGCAGCAGCGGACTCAAAGGAAGGGTCAGTGACGACAGTAGCAAGGAGACGCGTGACAGTAGGATTGGCAGCACGAAGGGAGTCCGACTCCGGGTCAGCAAGAATAGGAAGAGAGGACTCAGGAGGAGAAGGCAAAGGGGCACACAGCGGAGTAGTGGAGGGACGCAGAGACATTCGATGCGTCCCAGGGACAAGGGGAGGACGCTAACATGAACCACGACTACTAGTGCGAGCAGCACGGACAGGCGACGCAGGATGAGACGCAGGCTCAGGATGCTCAGCAAGACCTCCAGTGGGACCAGTGTAGGGAGAAGGAGCAGGCAGAGGAGAGGTAGGTTGTAACTGTGACTCGGACTGGACTGGCGGTGGACACTCTAAGTGAGGAGCCGGACTAGCAGACGGCGGAAGACCAAGAACCTGCTCAAGGAGCGGAACGAAGTACGGCCGCGGCCGCTCAGCACCACCAGCACCAGAAGGGACAGCACCAGCACCCCGAACGACAGCACCTGCGCCAGCAGCACCCCTAGATCCAGCAGCGCCAACTCCAGTACCCTCAGAGGCACCAGCACCCGAGGCACCCTCAGCGCCAACACCCCCAGCAGCTCCAGCTCCAACCGGACCACCAGAAGACGCAGCGGGTCCAGCTCCAGCACCCTCAGTAGCACCAACGCCCGCAGCACCACCAGCTCCAGTACAAGAAGCACCCGCAGGCCCAGCAGCTCCAGTACTCACAGTACGAGCACCTCCGGGGCCCGCGGCACCAGCACCCTAAGCAGCAGCAGAACCTCCAGCACCCAGAGCACCTCTAGCTCCAGCAGCTCGCCTCCAGCGCCGGGCAAACCACTCACGCAGCTCCTGTGGAGAGAGTAGCTCCCGCTGGGACGAAGCACCAGAAGAACCTCGAGGCCCAGCACCGCCAGACGCCACACGAGTAGGTCCAGTACCCTCAGACTCCGCACCCCCAGACGCAGCACCCCCAGGCTCAGCACCCCCAGACGCAGCACCCCCAGGCGTAGCACCCCTAGGCTCAGCACCCTTAGGCGTAGCACCCCCAGAGTCAGCACCCCCAGGCGTAGCACCCCCAGAGTCAGCACCCCTGGGCTCAGCACCCCCAGACTCAGCACCCGCACGCTGAGCACCCCTAGCAGCACCAGAGTCAACAGCTACCTTGACAGGGTCGAGTGCGTCTACCTGAGACACACCTGAGGGGGCAGGACCCTGAGGGGGGAGGGGGTCTACCGGAGGGGGACCTGGCGTAAGGAAGAGCGGCGCGGGGGGGAGGGACGCAGTGCGGTAGGGGAAGAGACGGTAGTAGGGAACCGACTCGTCAAACGTGACGTCCTGGGAGGACAGAACACGGCGCGAGGTGGGGTGGTAGAACTACCAGCCCGGCGTGTCAGGGGGGAAGCCAAGGAAGACGCAGGGAACAGCACGAGGGGACAGCTTGTCCGCAGACAAGTCGCGGACAAACGCCCGAGATGCTCAGACACGAAACGCAGACGCATCGCCAACCTTCCGTGTCCACAGCAAAGCAGGGGAGGTCTCCGGCATGGAGACCCGGGGCTGAAGGTTGATCTGATGCGCCCCGTACCGAACCACAAACGGCCACATAAAATGGGGGGAGCCGCATGGACCATCGACGTACGAGCGACGTCCATGACCATGCCAATGCGGCGCTCATGAATCCCATTTTGCTGCGGAGAGTCCGGAAGCATGAAGGTCTGGCGGATGCCTCGTGCACGACAGAAGGCTCGTAGAAGGTCAGAGGAGAACTCTCCACCACTGTCAGAGTGCAGACGCAGAACAGGAAAGTCCGAGCCGAAACTCTCTCTGAGCTGGAGACGAGCTGCGCGGATCCAGGCGATCAACACCTCAGTGACCTCACCCTTGCTGCGCAAGGGGAAGACTGCGGTGTAACGCGAGTAGTCGTTAACCACCAGCGGGAAGTAACGCTCGTGACCCTGTCCACAGACGCGGGCTGGGCCCCACAGGTCCATGTGAAGCGTCTGCAACGGAGCCTCTGTCGGAGGAAACTCGGAGGAGTGAGGAGCAGCGCGCTGCCGCCCCTCGACGCAGGGAACGCAGGTGGGGGCAGGCCCCGGAGGAAGGGGAGGGAGGGACCGGGGGAGACCAGAGACAAGGACACGGGAGGCCATGCCTCGAAGACGAGGCAGGGAGGGGTGACCAAGGCGGTGGTGCCAGAGGAGAGTCTGGTGTGACAGGAGACGACACGAGCAGGGGGCAGACTCAGGACCAGACCTGGATGCCGTAGCAAACACCTGACCCGACGCGGCTACCTGAGCAGACTCAGCGACCGGAGGAGACTCAGTAGTCAGTGTGTACAGGCTCGACCCCGGCTGACGGGTAAACGTGGCCAAGTGTCAGCTCGTCCGAGCACAGGTACATTGGGTCACTCGCTGACTCGCAGGAGTGAACTAGTGAACCCCTCCATCCTGGAGGTCAGCACCACTCCCCAAGTTCGTAGAGAACGAGGAGAGGTAAAGACCCGACAGGGTGCCAGAAGGGGCCGCCGAACACGGTAGAACAGTGGAGAAGTGGGCAAGGACAGGGCCCCCAGAGGGGTTTGCCAGGGAGACTGCCAATGGCCGACTAAGCGGCGTAAGCGTGGTGCGGTCTCGAAAGAAGGAGCGGGAAGCACCCGAGTCAAGGGTGAAGGTATGGGTGGCTGGAGCCGGCGCGGTACCTGAGAGCGCAGACTCACCAGCACCTGGGGCAGCAGGCTCACTGGCACCTAGAGCAGCAGCCTCACGAGCACCTAGACCAGCAGCCTCAATGCCCGGGTCAGACGGAAAACACCTGTAACAGTCACCCTCATCACTAATAGTCACAGCATACACTGCAGCAAGAATAACATCATAATCAAGATCAAAGATCGCAACACCCGCCCTAAACAGCTCGCCCCAGCGAGGGATCTCAGTAGCGTCGGGGAACTGATGACGCCAAGCGTCCGTCAGGCGGCTGAAGCAGCGCTGGGTGGAGTGCGGACCCCCACACTGCTCACCCGTGCGATCGCCTGTACGTAGAACGTAGGTACAGGGGACAGCACCCCCACCTCGCTGACGAGCAGTGTACCACTCACGAAGCTGCTGGGAGGAAGGGGTCTCACGAGTGTGCTGCTGCTGGTGCTGCTGGCGCGGACCACCACCGGAGCCGACCCTCTGCAAAGAGCCGCCCCGACCAGCTCCACCTCCGCCGCCGCTACCTCCACCACCGCCTCCACCTCCACCACCTCCGCTCGCACCGCCACCACCGCCGCCTCCTCCGCCTCCACTGCCGCCACTTGTGCCCCCACTCCCGCCACCACTCCCACCGCCAACCCCACCCCCTCCGCCGCCTCCACCGCCGCCTCCACCGCCCACGCCAGCTCCTCCAGCGCCCTTGCCCCCCTTGCCCTTGCCTGAGCGGCGTCTCCCGCTAGGGGCAGACGCCGCGCCGACCGACTCAAGACCAACGAGGTCGGCCGCAGCAGCAGAGGCAACAGAGGGCAAGACGGGGAGCACCCCTCAAAGATAGGGGTACGAGGGTCACCAAGAGAGGCTCTTACAGTGACTATACAATTTTCCGATGCTAGGAGGCGCTCCTCGAGGAGGTCAACGGTGAGGGTGGTGGGGCAAACAGAGAGGAAGTGGTCCCTGACCGAGCGAAGGGTGTCAGGGAGCCGAGTGACTATGTAGTAGAGGGTGATGTACATAGGGGGGGGGGGGGGGTTCTTGGCGCAGAACTCAGCAGGAAGCGCAGCGCGGTAGCGAATGTCACTAGTGCGAAGGTGCATAATGAGGTCAGCGGCTGTGGGAAAAGCGGTGAGGTCAGGGAAGAGGTACGGCAGTATGAGGTGGCTAAGGGCAGCAGTGGCAGGGGAAGAGTAGCGTGCAACGATAGCGTCGTACAAGGTCTTAGCACTCTTGTACTGACTAAAATGCGCGCGCTCAGTGGTCGGTAAGTGGTGGCGCACAGCAAGGCGAGCAGCAGCATCGCGCGTGGCCCACTGTGAGCGAACAGTGGCATCAGCATCAGCAGCAGGGGCAGGAGAGGCACCAGAGTTGAGGTCAAACAGAGAGAGACCGTCTGCCCTATCACACTTTAGGAAAAGCTGCAGATCATCTACCCAGACCTCAAAGTCAATAGCTCGACCCTCAGCGTCAAACGTGAGAACACTGGGGGTGGCCATGACAGCAGTAGACTGGCAGAGAGAGCAGCGGGGTAGGGCAGTGCAGTGGAAAAGGCGCTGCTCTTACCAGGCAGGTGGGGCGGGCCGAGGCAGGCCGGCAGGGAAAGGGCCGCGACGGTAGGGACTGCGGCGTCTCGGCTGCGGCGGCGTGGCGGCTCGGCGGCTCGGGGGCTCGGCGGCTCGGCAGCTCGGCGGCTCGGCGGCTCGGCGGTGACGGCGGCTCGGCTGCTCGACGGGGCCGGGAAGGGCGGCGACGGGGCCGCAAGGGGCGGCAACGAGGCCACTGAAGGGCGGCGACGAGGCCACTGAGGGGCAGCGACGGGTCCGCTGAAGGGCGGCGACGAGGCCGCGAAAGGGCGGCGACGAAGCCGCGGAAGGGCGGCAATGGGGCCGCTGAAGGGCGGCGACGGGGCCGCGGAGGGGCGGCGACGGGGCCCCTGAAGGGCGGCGATGAGGCCGAGGTGAGGGGGGGAAGGCGACGGGGCCGCAAAGGGCGGCTACGGGGTCGCGGCTCGGCGGCGACGGGGCCGAAAGGGGCGGCGGCGGGGCCGTCAGGGGCGGCGACGGGGCCGTAAGGGGCGGCGACGGGGCCTTAAGGGGCGGCGACGGGGCCGTAAGGGGCGGTCGCGGGGCCGTGAGGGGCGGTGAAGGGGCCGTAAGGGGCGGTCGCGAGGCCGTGAGGGGCGGCGACGGGGCCGTAAGGGGCGGTCGCGGGGCCGTAAGAGGCGGTCGCGGGGCCGTAAGGGGCGGCGACGAGGCCGCTAAGGGGCCACGCGGGGCCTAGAGAGGGTAGCTACGGGGCCTGAGGGGCCGCTAAGAAGGGCGCGACGGGTCGCTAGGGGTGGGACACTAGGCGCGCTTCGAGCAGGGGCGGCACGCGCCTCGGGTAGGAAAAAAAAAAATCTTGGTGGGCCCTAGGAACAGTTCCCACGAGGGAACCTGCTCGATACCATGAGAAACTTAGAACGAGAATGAATTGACTAAGGAATGAAAGTGATACAAATATGAAACCCTAGAATTGTGTACCCCTTAGTATCTAACCCGCTACAGCCTACACAGGCTAGATCATATAAGTTTGACACTGTGCGCTTGCGCCATTGGCGCGGACCCGTGGGCGCGAGCGCCGAGAGTGTTGGCGCCTAAGGCGTTTCGCTTAAGGTGCTGGCGCCTTAGGTGCTGGTGCTGTGGGTGCGGGCGCCCTGGGCGCTTGCGATTAGGGTACTGGTGCCTTGGGCACGGGCGACGTGAGGGCGACACTTGTATGTGCGCATGCACTTGCGGGTGAGTGCGGTTGTGAGCGCAAGGGCGAGGCGAGGGCGAGTGTGAATGAAAGAGCAAGTGCGAGCGTGAATATGCAAGTGAGTGCAAAAGAAAAGTGTGACAGTGAGCGCAAGCGTGAGTGTGAGGGCAAGTTTGTGGGTGAGCGCGAGCGTAAGTAAGTTTGTGAGTGCGAGGTTGAGTGCAAGGATGCTGGTGTGAGAGCAAATGGGAGAGCGAGAGTGCGTTCGAGTGTGTGGTAGGCTGAGAAGATGAGTGCGCGCGTTTATGTGTGTATTTCTGTGATTGTCGAAGAAGATTTGACAGTATATGTGTGTGATTGAAGAGTGGGTGCAAGAGCAAGTGTGAGGGTGAGAACAATGGTGATTGTCGATGTGAGTGCGGGTGTGAGTGCGAGAGTGAGGCGAGGGTGAGTATGAAGGTGCCTGCGTTGCGGAGATAACTACTACAATGGGAACTAGACTACGGGCTAGGCACGGATGCTCGTGTGATCTCTGCGTTCGTTGGTCCTTAGTCGTTTTCCTAGTGCACACACTTCTTGCTAGTTAACGAGGCAAGTTGGCAAAAGTTTCACTAGAGAAAGTTGACAACAATGGTACAATGAAGTTGGTATGGCAAGACTACATCAGAGCTAGCATTCAGGTCGCTCGACTGCCAGCGCAGCATGGTCGACCGCGTTCCAGCACGACTTGGTCGACCGCGCTCTAGCAGTGCAAAGTCAACGGCGTGCCAACACTGCAGGTTGGCGGCGTGCCAGCGTTGCTCCCGCAGAACAACAGCGCACCTACTTCGCAGGTGCTCGCAGAAGATTAGCGGGCTAAGTCTCGTCACTTGCACAACGCACACACCAGGTCGTCCTCGTGCTAACGACCGCGCCTGATCCGCCATGTCGACCTCGGGATACCACCACCGAGGTCGGACTCGCCAACTTCGCCTGGGCGACCGTCGCACTCCTCCGCAGAACCTCGTCACCCAGGTAACCTGGTCGACCGGGCAACCACGTCGACCAGCTGCTCCTGTATGTGCGCGTCAACCTCCCAAGTCGACGACCACCCCAAGTCGACCTCACCAGGTCGACCACACCCCTGGTCAACCAGCTCCAGGTCGACCAGCTCCACATCGACCAGCACTCCTGGTCGACCAGCTCCATGTCGACCAGCGCAGGTGTCAGCCGACCACCGAAGTCGGCTACCCGAAGTCGGCGTCACCAAGTTGACGCCCAGCTAATCGACGCCCAAATGCTCGGCGTCCTGAGTCAAGGTCGACGTCGGCCCCTCCTTCGTCGAACACCAGGTCAGGTCGACCACCAGCAGGTCAACCAGCAGGCCTAGTCGACCAACCACCAGGTCGACCAGCAGTCCGTCAGCCGACCACCCAAGTCGGCTGCCCCAAGTTGGCGTCACCAAATTGACGCCCGCAGCAGGTCGACTTCCCAGGTCGACCTCCCTTAAGTCGGCGCCGCCCTGAAGTCAGCGCCCGTGCAGTGGCCCCCGTGCAGGTCGACCTACTTGTCAACCAGCTCGCCCTTTGTTGCAGGTCGGCTGCTCCCCTCACACCCGACCACGAAGTCGGCTCCGCCCAAGCGCGGACGGGGCCAACACACAACTCCCGTTGACATGCGTCAGTGTGTGCGAGAGATAGTGGGAGAGTGAACGCGAGTGTGAGTGCGAGGGCGAATTTGAGCGTGAGTGTGGGTCTGAGTGTGAGTGCGAGTTCACTTCGAGGGTGTGCGCAATTGTGTGGGTGTTCCTAGTGAGCGTGAGCACGAATTCAAGGCTGAGTGCGAGGGTTTGTGCATGTCTCAGTGAGTGTGTCTAAGTCTTTACGAACAGTTGAAAGCATTCGAGTGTTTGTGAATGACTGCGAGCGTGTGCAAGAGGGTGAGCGCGTGTTTGAATTCAAGAATGTGTTGCAAGAATTCCTATGAGGTGCTGCATGCATTCTGGCGTGGATCTTTGACTTCGCAATATCAAATATCGAGTCACCTTTGTAAGATGTCAAGTTCTATGATTCGTATCACTCATGTTTAGTGTATTTACTGCATTACTCATCAGTTTCTGGTGCATCGTGTAAGCTGCATTCTCTGATTCTGTTCTCTTGTGTAGCTCATGCAAGTTGTACTCTCTGCTTTGCTTTTGTTTGTGCAGGGAGTGTGAGTTGCATTTGCTGTTTTTTCTTTCCTGTGCAACGATTTCAAGCTGCATTCGTTGTTTCTTGCGGAAGAAAAACGGGGGGGAGGGTGGAGGGGATGAGGGGGTGGGGGGGTGGGAGAAGGGAGATCAGGAAGGGAGGGAGGGGAATGGGGACAAGCTAGCAATAATTTATACATACCGGTAGTTGAACTTCATAATCTTGCATGTTGATTAGCTGTATGTTTTTGCGTTTGTCCGTATGTGTGTGCGTTTGTGTGTGAGCCTGTATGTATGTGTGCGTATATGTACGTACTGTTTTGTGTGTCTGTTCCGAGGTGAGTGCTAAGTGCCTTGTTAAAGCATTTGGGGTTGTGATCGTTAGTAGGGCAGCTTAGCTTGCCCAGATCGATCGAAGTTGCATCAACGATGCATTCTAGCATTAGCTTTGAAGCATTCACAACTGTTATCCCTTGTTTTTGCATGGGTTTGTGTGATGCTGCCGTTTGTGTTTGTTTTGGGGTGTGGTGCTAAGTGCATCGTGTATGCAACTGGGGTTGTCATCGTCGGTGGGGCAGCTTTGCTCGCCTCTTCCGTACCATATCAATCTCAGTTGCAACATTGATGCATTTAGTATTCACTTCGAAACATGCACGCTTTTCTTGTGGTACCGTATGGCCCCGGATATAGGCGCCGTCTGATTAAAGGCGCCGGCGCCTATATCTGGAGCATGGCGCTTATGGCCGTTCCTCGATTATAAAGCCCCCCCCCCCCCCCCCTGTAAAACCCTGATTTATTATAAGCGCATGCATAATTTTATTCTTTCAATCCTGATTAAAACAGTAATGAATTTCGAATTTCAAACGAGTCAGCACCCATTTTCACTTTGTTTGACTTTCAAGGTCCTGACTGGTTTCGCGTCCAGTCAGGATGAGGTGGCACGCGGGCAAACTGACGTGCGAAAAGCTATGTGCAGCGTCAGAGATTCGCCCTCACGCGATTCAAAATCAGGACGCTATAAAATGTCGACTCGATTGAACTTACGAGGTGGAAATGTACATTTTGATGCGTTTAAGTTGTATTTCTGTATTTGTCGTTATATAAGCGCCGGCGCTTATGGCCGATACTCAATTAAAAGCGCCACGCCCCAAAAAAACTGATTTTATTATGAGCGCATATGCGCTACTATCCGGGGTAATACGGTATGTGGTTTTTGTACATGTTCCAGTATGTGGTAATTTGTTTGAGGGTGTAATGTGTCCGTTTAGTCCTTGTTTGCGTGTCTTAGGGTGTTGTGTCAGAATATGTAGTTTGTCTAGCCTGCAGTGGGGTACTCTATAGCGAGTACAACCCAATTAGGGTTTCCAATATGTATCTCAACTGCTGCTAGTGCAAATCCCTTTTCCTGGTCTATCTTTCTACTTACTATCTTTGACATGCTATCAGAGCGGTCACGCTCCTAGCCTGTGGGCCCACCGTTAGCTTCCGTTGCTGTCCTGACTGTCGCGCGCCCCGTGGCGCGCGACGTTTTTTCTTCCCGCCACGCGCTCCTAGCGCATGGCGGTTTTCTGCCCGCCGAGCGCTCGGGGCGCG